GGCTAATCAAACAGAAGCAAACACACACGCAAAAAGTCTTCTTTCCAGGAGTAGTGAAAGCAAGATTAAAATTTAATAGAAGCAAACTCTGCCCACATTAGCCTAACTACATGGTACGTGGGAATTTTTTCAGAATGAAAGAAAACATGACTTTATGTGTGATTTATGTGTGATTCACAATGTCTCTCCTGTTCACACACCAATAATTCACAAAAGAACATATCCTTGTTTGCAAACTTTTCTTAAATTCTATAGGGTTTTAACTTAGAAATGTTAATGTGATAGAAACAAGCTGTAGAGAGTTTTTAAAATATGCCTATATGTTTAAACATGTTTTTAAACAAAAGCGTGGACGTCTTTTTAGAATGACAAGCACAGCTGTACATTCCAATATAACTTCCCCATTACCAAAATACTTCGTAACTAAGGCCGCTGTTCCAGTGCCTTGAAAGCACTGGTGATCACAGCCCACTTTCTTGGTAGGCAGAATTAGAAGCAATAAGATATTTAGGAACAAAATCATTAGAGAGTATGAGAAAAATATGATCGTGTCATTTTTATGAACTCTTTTAAAAGCTTTCCTCACAACCATCATAATCTCTCCTAGGAATTCCACATGTTCTGTCTCTCAGAGCCATTATCCCCTTAAACTGCCAAATTACGTCTGAGGCTACTTTCAGATTTTATCAAGTTTGAAATATTTCATTTGATTAGGGATAAGAAATCCTAGTCAACCTAAATTTCTAAATATAATATCAATACAAATACAAATAAGAGAAATAAAATTACAAAAGATATTTTCTCTTAAGATTCAGGAAGATAAATTATGATTAAATAGAAAACTTTTAAATGTCTATGGTTATACTTAAATTCAGTGTAGAAGAAATGTGTAAAACAAATCAATTCCATGCTTGTCCATGCAGTGAGGCATTTAACTCAGAAGATTTCTATGAATTTCATGGAATATATTGATATGAATTATTTATAACTCTTAAAAATTCAAGGAAAAATATTAAATTTAATTTGTAGAATTGACAACAATGGACTAACAGGAAATGTATATATCATTTAACAGCTATGTGGTTGATTAAAATATTACTAGTTTGAGAGAATGTTCGTTTCGAGATTGATTAAGCTATACTAATTTTTAAAACCAATCTTCGAATTCTGAGCACTTAAACCAAAAGACTTCTAATCCTCTACAAATTTATAGAATGCAATGGAAAATTGATATAATACCAGAGTTCTAGGAGTCAAAGATCTCATAACTATGATCATAAATAATAATTATCTTCTATTTATATCAATACAATCTTTTCAATGAATTATTATTCTATTTCAGGTTGTAATATTTGAAGTGCAAGTGTGGAAACACATTCAGTGAAATATAATGAAAACTCAAGACAAAATTATGACACTGTTACATTTAAGAAATCAGTTTTCTAATAACAATGATGAGTGGTCTCCTATGAACCATAGAAGGGCAGTCTAACATTGATGAAGTAAAGTTATTCTGCCTACACGTAATAGAAACTCATTGAAGGTGAACGGCAATTTGCTTCATGCAAACTCTGGTCTCATGCCACTAATCCGCTTGCCTTGGCTTTTTGCATGCCAGCCTTCCATGGTCTTTCTTTGTTCTTGAACTTGGACTGTTCTGTCTTCATATAGAGCCTTAACACAGCACTTTCCTGAATCTGGGCGTGGCTTCTTGCCCTCTCCAATCTTTTCCTAGCATTTCTTCAAGGGAACTTTCTCTGACATTGTCACTAGGTCTCAGAGCACTTTTTTTTTTTTTTTATCTGAACTTTTCTTTGCTCGACTCATGGCTTCTTGCCCTCTCCAATCTTTTCCTAGCATTTCTTCAAGGGAACTTTCTCTGACATTGTCACTAGGTCTCAGAGCCCTTTTTTTTTTTTTTTTTTATCTGAACTTTTCTTTCTTGGCACCACTCACATTTTTGCTAAATATTTGATGGAGGAAATAATGTTTAATAGCTATGGGCACTGCCATAATGTAAACTCCAATAGAGACCGAATTATACCTAATTCATATAATGTTATGTCCCTAGAATTTAGCACAATGTCTGAAATGTAGTGTTTAACTGAATGGATAGAGTAAATGAGGGGAAAGAGAAAATGAGCAAAGTACCAAAGTGGCTTTTAAGATAGCTGGACTTGATAACTTTGGGATAGAGAAGTTTGAAGATTCAATTGTAACACCTAAATATTATAATTTGTCTAGAACATATATCACGTTTATGGCCGTAAGTATGTACCTCATTTGATTAATGCCAGACTGCTAATTTTATGGTCCAAACACTGTTATAAGAAAATTATACTTTCTTACTTTTTCTTTTGCCAATGCACACAGTCCTGGTTTCCCATCTGTATTTTGTTAAACTATGTTTTCTGCACGTTCTTTCAGTTTAAATATTGTTTATTCTTTCATCGAGCAAATATCTTTTGAATACCTACTTAACCAAATACCTAAGAATACCTACCTAACCAAATCAAGGTAGTATTTCAGAGATTGCTCTGAGTGTACTAGCTAAGTAGAAAGAATTATTATTTATAATTCCTGAAAGGAGAGCTTCTATTCTTAGAATTCTTATGCTAAATCAATATTCAACCAGGGTCAAATTATGTGACTTACTAAAAGTCAGTTAATGTCTCAGAGAATCAGTTCTGTGTATATAAAGAAAGATTTGGGTAATATTGGAAGACTTTGAGATCACTTTGATCTCTAAAGTAATGTAATTTCAATTTATAATTAAGACTTATGTTGAGGGATTTCAAATTTAAAAAACTGACAATATAAGTAGCAAAGCAAAAGTGGGATTCAGTAAATAGCTTTCAATTTCATTCATTAAAAGACCAGGACAAAGAAAATATAACATATATTTTTCTACTCACCAGAAAAAGGGAATGCATGATTGTGAAATTGTAGAAACTTTTAATAAAATTTTCCTTCTTTCTTTATGAGAAGGGTTAGCCATAATCATATAAACTGGAAATACGCTGCCTAGAAAGAGAACACAGAGAGCCCAACCAACAGAAAGCAATCGAAGAATATTTTAAAATGCTAGATGAATTTAAAACATCAGGAAGAAACCTTAACCTTGGAGAACGCTCAAAGATCTGTTTTTAAAATAAGGGAGAAGGGTTAGAGAAGATGTGTTCTTGAGTAGAAGTATCTTTAATGTTTCTCAGAGGAATCAAGCTTCCAACCAAACATCTTTTCAGTTCAGGACCAGATGTGATTGTAGGGGAGAGGAAGTTGCTACATCCAATGCTAAGGAACACATAGTAAGAGAGTATGGGGCAGAGGGAGGGCAGAGACTGCCACGTAAACATCAACCATTTAGAATGTGAAAGACATAAGACTGTACCCTTTTCTAACAAGATTTCAATGCATATTTTCCATGAGGTTTCCATGCATATATAGGAACCAAACTGGATTATTCATTTATTCGTCAACCTTTCATCAACTCCTTCTGAAGGGCTACCCATCCTCTTAGCTCATAAAACCTTTCATGATCTCTGATCTGATGTGCTCTGAACTATCATAGAACTTCACACCTACCTAACAAGTCCCAACTTATATCAAAGTTGTCAATGTATTTGTCATATTCCTTCCTTCCCATCTCATCCCTGCCTGGTTTTGTAAAGTCTAACACTAAGTTCTATTTACTTTTATCTACTGCAGGTAATAGCATAGAACCTTTTCTATGCAATGTGCTCAATCAATGTTTCTTGATTTCTAGAGGTGACTATCCATTACGAGAGACACTGGGGAATCACAGTTGTCAATCTGCTCAGCAGCCAAAACCTAGTTCAGGTGTCCTTGAGAAGTTTTTCAAAGACCTGTTACAGGGATCTGTAAGAAGAAAATAGTGCCTTGTTCTTATTCCCCTTCAAATCTCTTGGAATACATACAATAAGAAAGGAAATCTCTTTAAAGAATAGTGTACTGGGAAAAACATATTCTGGACACTGTCATTTGGTTAATCTGGGTTTCATGTGGAAGATGAGTGGTCTGGATTAAGTATATTTAATTTTTCTTGCACTAAAGTGTAATGATTTAAATAACATCGTGTGATAACCTGGAAGAAAGAACGTGCTACTCTGTTACACTAAATACCACAGAAAATGACAAGCAGAAAATGTATAGGGCAGTTTTCAGCCAGAACACTGGGTTCTCCTACATGATTTTTCTGAAGACAGAGACATTACAAGTACACTGTGTCACTAGGTCACCGTCTCTGTCATCTGATTTAGACATGTATCCCATATGTTCTACACAACTGCTGCAAAGTAAACTCCTTAAGGAATTCAAATAATTGAAATGGAGAGGGTTAGTTTTTGTTGGCAATCTATGGAATATCAATTTAAAGGTAGCATTTGAATATTCAAGTGTTCTTATCAAGATATGTATTTTATTATTCCATTATTGTACTTTCATTCTACTTAAAGAATTTAAATTGTACAGATTTAACAAAGTTCATATTTTTTAAAGGAGAAAAATTAGAATTCAGAGTGCTTCACATAGGATTGACAATACTTTAAAGGTCAGTGTCCAGAGAAAATCAGATGACAAGTGCATTGTTTTTTTAGTCCTTGATTCTTCTCAGAATTCCTCATAGGAAAATCTGTAGCTCTATATGCTAGTTCAGAAATGAATTTAAAAAAAAAAAAAGATACTTTCTTCCTACTCTGCTATCTATTTATTCATATTTTTATAAATATTTGGAAGTAATTTTACATCTATATCTGAATATTAAAAATACAATGTTTTAACATACAATATAGTTTTATAAGTCATGCATATAAAATAGTACTATTAAGAAAACTTTATAATATAGTGATTGCCTGCCTTAAAGGAAAATGGAATTATAAAACAATAAGGCTGGTTTTAAATTGTGCATAGAACCAGTAATTGTGTATTTAAGGCAATTAAAGGATTTATTGAATCTTGGTTAAAAGCAGATTCACAATGAATTAAAGAATAAAGTGTAATTTATTTGGTGCTACTTTGTAAATGCTTCTTATCTACAAATCATCTCACCATATCATATACAATATACTTTCAATTACAACTCAAACATAAAATAATCTACAAAATCACATGGCTATCATCAATATACAGTGATTATATTTTTAAAAGAAAGAAAATTAGCATTTAATTAAGTCAAGGTGCAGTAACTCCAAATAAAATATTAGCACCATACCAGATAAAATGATCTAAAACTACTGACCTCCTTATACTTCTTAAATAACTAAATATAAACATTTTTTTCGAAGCACAAATATTAATTTGCAAAGTCAGTTCTACAGTAGTTAATATTTCTTTTTTGCATTTATTTTCCAGTAAGGAAAAATACAAAGTAAAAACTTTCACAGGGTATGAAAATCAAACGAACAAATCTAACCAAATCAAATGTCCTTCAGCAATGAGTTCCAACAGAAGCAAAAGTGGACATTTCACGGCGTATGGTACTAAAAGGTGAGAGTTCCAGTTCTGTGGTGTACTCGTTGTCATTGTCGTCGCTGGTCACTGTTGAAGACTTCTGAATGCACTCCTCACAGCAACAGCAGCAGCACTCCATAAAGGCCCGACTGAAGGGTTTGCACAGACAGAAAAGGAGGACTGGTGTGACACAGGACTTAAAGAACAACAGGAACTGGCTGATGATATTAAGAAGATCCATTGTCTGCTGGGAAACCCCCGTGGCCATATAGGCAGTAACAATGTTGCAGATATTTTCAGGAATAATGCAAAATCCATATAAAATGGTCAGAGCCACTACTGTGCAGTTCATCTGGCTTTCTAACTGAATCTGACGCTTATTCCCTCGGGTACAGGCCTTCTCTGCTTTGCGGATTTTCCTTGCAGTCACTAAGGAGCAGGTGATGGTGAAAAGCGTGGGCAGACAGAAGTAACAGCCGAAATACCACCAGAGCCGCGCACTGTCATAGGTAAGGGCTAAAACATAGACGGTGTCCGGTAAGTCAGGGGAGATCTTTATAACACAGCGCTCCGCGGGAGCTCGGCCGCTGAAGCCCAAATCCTCCTTGCTCAGCTGGCGAAGGACGACTTCGGGAAGCGCCAACAGGAGAGCGCCAACCCATATGACGGCGAGTTTGGCAGTTGTCGAAGAACAGTTTTCAATCATTTCATAGTACATCTGTACGTTGGTGGCAGCACGGAAGCGATCTATACACAGAGCACACAAGGTGAAGGTCGTGACCCCCAGAGATGCGACCTGTGGGAGGAACACAGAATGCAGTTATCCTGGGTGAGCTCTGAAAAAGATCAAAACACTAGGCGATAAATAACGGATTAGCGAAAGAGTAAAGAAAAAAAAAAGGAGAACAGTTTTCTGGAATAAAAAGACATGGGTAACTGGGTCAGTGAGTTCGGCCGAATCATTTTAAGGATGAAAACTGAAAATAAGAAAACAAAATGTAGTGGTTCTGGGTCGTGCAGTCAAAAAAATTGTACAGCTGGAAGAATCTATAAGGATAGTATTTTATTATGGATAAGAACACAGAAACTCCAAGAATTTCAGTCACCATGAAAATGCCTGCCACCTGGCCATCTAGATAGGGAATAGGATAATTGAGTGTATCCCATTTTCATTACTGAAAAAGACGGCCATGTTTCCCAGTGTGGGGGGCAGTGGCATGCCTCACACCGCACACGATCAAGAGCCGATTGTTTCCCACAAACTAGATGATAGAGATCTCCAGTTTCTCCTAAATGCAAAATCAAGTATTTAAATATTATTTTCACATACATTTATGGAAAACAAGGAAGGGAAATTCTCCAGAGGTCAACATCAATGAGAAAACTAATTTCAAACAGGTCAGTGGCTGCCCAGCACACTCCTGTCCCATGCTGTATGTTTGCCTAGGGGTATCTGCCAATTCTGATGAGATTTTCAAGTGGGTTTTAGCCAGAGGGATGGAGCCAAGTGGCCAGGTACACAGAGGTTGAAATCAAACCAAGGATCGATATGAGTGGGAATTAAATCAAAGATCCCCTTATGAATTTGGAACACCCCAAATAGTGACATCTTTGTCAGTAGAAAGAGGAAAAGGAATCACGGGAGATAGTGGAGAAACTTGTCCGCATTTTACGATTTGGATCTGGATGGATGGGGGAGGGGAGGAGAAAAGCAAATTCTAACCAGGAGACTGAATTCACACTGGACTAAAGCCAGAATTCACACCATCTGCGAGGTTCGTGGAAACACAAAACACAGTTTTAAATTGTCTCAGGCACCTGACAGAAGCAAACACAAAACCTCTCTGGAAGAATTCACTTCAAAACTAGGCCTCAGAGAAATCTCATAGATAAAAATTTCAGGGAACATGGATTAAAAATCACAATATGCAAGAGACAATCCTCCACTATGAGCTTCTGTGCCAAAGGAAACAAATTACAGAATCAGACATAAGTACATTTATCATGAAATAAAAATGATCATCACATTTAAAGAAATATGAGATCCGAGAATGTCAAAGAAAATAAGACATATAAAAAATGAAAATATGCATAAAGGAGCCAAATAGAACATCTAAGTAAAACTTAGTTACTCAGAGTTTTTTAATCTGAAAACTTCAGATCAGAAAACTCTGATGCTGACCACACAGAGCACTGTATTCAAAGACGAATCGCTCCAATGTACATATGGTCCAGACATCTCACAGCGTCCGCAGGCAACATTCAACACAAGTGCACATTTATCGATATCGACTCTATGCCATGCACTCTGCTAGGTAATGCAGATATAGCAAAGAACGAGAAGCAGGTTTTCCTCCCAAGGAGGTAATAGTCAACCAAGAGGGCAGGGTGGTTCTCAAAGTCACAAGGTAAACACAGCGATCATCCGGGAGCATCAAATTTACTCAACTATTTGGGGGAAAATGGAAATGATTTAATGTTTAATAAATGGTGTCATTATTTATATATTTAAACAAAGACAATGAATAGAAGGTAAAATATTCATGAGGATTAAGATTAAACTGGAGACCAAAAGAAAACTCCCTAGGTGGATGGGATGCTCTGGCCTGCATCCCAGGCACCTGGGTATGTGCATCACTCTCCCCTGTCACCTAGCGAGACTGTTTAAGAAGCACAGCTATAGGTCACAGCATGGCAAAGGGGCAAGAACAAATGGCTATATATAATGAAAATGTCTAATTTTTGTACAACTCAAAAGGATCATGTTGACAAAAGAAAAACCATTTGTCATAACAATTTTAGCACTTGAAACATAAGTTGTTTACCTACTACATTCAAGCTGTCGCTGTCCCCAGAACGACAGCAACTTGCCTTGTGGATTCTATGAGAGCTCCAACATCAAATATTCTCTCCTCTTCTTACACACTACACATTAGTCAGTGTTTCCTACTTCTAATATGGAAAATAAGAACATTGTATCTATGTCCTGATTAGTCTCTAATTAGAGGAGACAGTCTGAAAAAGAAATATAATTAGGGGTTAACTATATGAAAACCAAAAATGAAGAAAAAAAGTGTGGAAAACAAAAGTCTACATCGGTGTAGATCAAGAGGTCTTGGTTGTGCTTAGTCACAATTCTCATTCTACAAATCGTCAGAAAGTTTCCTATAAACACCAGTATAAGAAATGTCAATCTAATATGACTGCCAAAAAAAGTCATTTTTACATTCACTTTTTGAAAATTAACTTTCAAATTAATAAATTGTTCACCTTGATGAAAATTTATTTTGCATCTATGCTAGAGACTCAGAATAATTCTTAAAATTGAAGTCCATACTGTACAACTGTCTTAAGATAAGATTATATTTGTTTAATGTCAGTAAATGCCACACTTTGAATGGAAATCTGAGAAGTACTTGGCATTTTCTCAAGATCTACATCAAACAGAACTAAGTGGAAGTTTCGGGATTCTAGTCTATAGATTTTTGAAACTTTACACTTATATATTAGTTTTTCAAATGTTTTGATTCATTTTCTATAAGAATGCAAAACAAAACAAAACAAAACCTACCTCAAATTATCTAATAGACACAAATCCCCAGCAAGGCTTTCTGTGCAGTCTTCATTAAAGCAAATCTTTGCAAGTTTCTTTGTCATTACGTATCCTGAGTCAATCCACTAATACAAAGGTATGAAGATTTATATTTTCCATTCTTTCTAAATTATAAATAACATTTCAATTAAAAGGATAGCTTGATGATATAAATTACTAGAGATTCTAGGAGAGGCAGTCTCTTAGAGGCTTGGAACATCTATTTGCTTGGTAATTTTTTTACCATTATTTACAAAGAACGCGCAAAGGATAGAATCCTCCCTCCTATTAATCTCCCTAATTTTAAAATTCAGATTTAAAATCTGGACCAATTGCCACAAGAGTTAGCTTTTTTATACCTAACTCCAAGTCAGTAGCATGAGAAGTATTCCAAAGCGTTTCATGGGAAGTAATAGCAAATGAATGTGGGTGGATGTGTATTAAGACGGGTGTGTTAGATTGCTACTCCATAGACATCATAAACTGTTGCATATCTACTCTTAATTAGAAGACAGTCACTGCTTCAAAAAGCAAAAAAGAGTTTCTAAGTTCTATATATTTTGTCTTACACGATAACAAAAGCCAGGACAAATTTTAAACAAGATTTACATGTGTTCCAACTTTTTGCTCAGCATTTCTTCTGCACGGTATTTTATTTGAAGGTGCTCAGTTCTTTAGTCATATTCCCCAAAGCTTTCATACTGAGTCAGAACTTCAGATACGTCTGATTTGTAATCCTCTTGATGAGTCATGGGGTGAGGAAACCTTCTCAATTTTCATACACTAATTTCAGGAAGCTCCTACATCCAGCTTCCTGTTTTCAAACTGTACTTCTCTCTGACAGTATTCACTGCCATCAGGATCCAGCTGAAACAGGGTGAACTGTCCAGGAAGGTCACAAGAGCTACAGAGAGAGTTGTTAAAGGATCCTCTAGGAAAACGCTGCCCCAACTGCAGAGAGCGAGTACAACGCAGTTGCCAATAGCAACCGCAGGCCAAACACTAGTCCTAGATATCTACTCCCTCCTGCTGCCACTGCCTGCAGTGTTATTACTTCAGATGTTTTTCCGTAAATTCACTTATGCACTCTATTTTATGATGTGAACGAACTAGAAAGGTACAAAGTCCCTGCTCAGTGCTTTCCCAAATTATTTACAGAAGTCTGTAAATATCTATAAAGAGTTAACTGCATACCTCAGAAATTAATCGATAAAAATCATCTGGGTAATGGATGGTAGGCTAATTTCTGCCTACTCAGATATGAAATCTATCCATGTAATTAAAATTGCTAAGTGTTGGGGTAACATGAAAAGATTTCTATCACAGTTTTTAAATATACTTGTTTACACACAGCTCATTAGAAATTCTACCAAGATGAATAGTCCAATTATATGCAATTATAAAACTGTATCATGAATGCTGGATCTTCTGCATTTAATGACCATATCTGATTACTAAAATTCAATATCACTATGAAATACGCTCTTGGGAGTAAGCTGTTAAACATTAGCTCAGATGGTTAGTTCTTTGAAGCAACATCCTAAGAGATGAAATGAGTAAGATGCAATCTCTTATTAATTAAACTGCAATGGGAGGAATAATTAACATCAACAAAAGCAGAACTGTAAACACTTTTAATAGACAAGACTATTAATTTTGAGAATCGAGCTCAGAGGAAAGCTGGGAATAGAAATTTTTAACTGTTTGGCAAAACAAGATACTAAGCTTTTGAGGGGATTGTCATCAAAATACAGAAGCAAGGGAACCAGAATCGACAACCCTAAAATCTTCCTTTCGAACAGCGGTGTTCTGCTCTGCTTCGTGTCCCACAGCAACAATGGTAAAACTCCTTCACCCCTGCCCAGGCAGCATCCCGAGCAGTGATGCTTCCAGCAGCTGCAGGCACTGGCAGCAGTGAGTGCTTCAAGGCACCACCAGGCGACAGGAGCAGGAGATGTCGAGACCTGAGCATGCTGGTGGAGAAGCGGCAGCTGTGGGGCCATTCATTCTCTCCACTGTTCAAGTTTCTACTGCAATATAAGCTTCACGCCATGAGGAAACCTGTGCCACCACTTTGTACTGCATTAAACCCCTGTTCCTGCAAAATGATATGAAGAAAGAGCATACAGATACTTTGTGAAAAAGTCATCCATGAAGATCCTGCGCTTTAGCTATTGCTCCATGTCTCAGAAGCTTAACTGCAG